ATCACCATTCATTGAGTTTCTTGAAAGATAAACCCCTCGTACCCCCCAATAATGTGTATTCATGTTATTTTTTGTAAGTCAAATGTCAATAAAAAAAAATAAGAATCAAATGTAATGTAGTATTATTTTTTTTTTTTATTTACTGTATATTTGTATCATGTTTTGTTCTATTTTCATTTAAAAAAAATGTTTATAAAGCCTTGAGAAGGAAGGTGAGGCTGATGAGTGAAAGGAACAAATTAAATATGTGTGTATGGTTATGTTTTGACATAAAAATATATATTAAAAAAAGCAATGAAATACTTTTAAATTGTAAAAGAAAAAAATGTTTTCAAATAATTTCCTCGTAAATATCATTTTTTTCAATTCCTTTAAAGGGGACCTATCATGCAAAATGCACTTTTGTACGTCCTTTCTACATGAATATGTGTCCCCGGTGTTCCAGGGAACTCACCAAGTGTCAGAAAACACAACCCTCTTTATTTTCCTCCATACCCAAATCTCTAAAAAAGGGGCTGCAACGGATCTGATAAAAACGGATCCAGATTTGAACACTGTCCTGACGTCAGGACGGTGGCGCTACGGCTATTGGGCCAACTCTCCACCTATCAGGGGAATGTGGGGTTGGGCCACGGCCGGCCATTGCCGCTCGAAAGCGCTGGAGACGCTGTAGTACATATGCCAGGCCTGTAAGTGGCGCTGTAGTCTGCCACAAAAGCAGCGAAGAAGACTTCCCGCCCATAGTTACCATGGTTACCCTTCTGTTTATTCTCCTCTGTGGCTTTCTTTCTCCCTCCCCGAGGCAAGCGTTTGCTCCCGCTGCTTTAATTCAATGCAATCCCTCCCCGTCGAGGCAAGCACTGTAATTCTCTCCAGTTAGTCCACCAGCAGATGACAAACACCCACCTCTCCGCCTCTTCCAAGGAACGAGGGGACCGTGCGGCAGAGTTTCAGTTTCAGTTTGTTTCGCCGGTCAAGATGTCCGTTAAAGTTTAAATCTTCCGGACAAAATTAGAAAAGTGCCGGTCAAAGGTCTTCTTTGTTATTTATTGAGCTTTAAAACAAATGAATAACGACTCTATATAATAAAACACGGAGGACGGAGATCTCTTTTTCTCCCCCTCTTCTGACAGCCCAGCAGCTGATCAGAGCACGGCTCACCTCTCTTGCAGGGGGGCGTGGTCAGCTGCAGCTCACAAAATCAGACCCGTAGACAGCAAACAGCACATAGAGCGAAATGAGGCATGGCTAAAATGCATGATCTGTTTGGTATTTTGAAAACAGAAACGTATAAATATACCTTATATAGGTATGGCCCTACAATATATCATTTAAATATAGCATGATAGGTCCACTTTAATTTTGAGTTTTCTGTTTGAGTTTGATATTAATTTAAAGGCAGTTTCCATTCAAAGCAGTGGATGGCCGTCCACTTGCATTACCTATAAATAACTTTAACAAATAAGTATAAATCGTGACTTTAAGGGTAATTCCAGGAAGTTAAACCTGCTTCTTCCACCCTGCAAATAAGAATCTGGGTAAAAGACTGAACACTTGTGATTTTAAGTAATTGAAGAGCTCCCAAACGACCACAAAGACAGTCTGCCCTCCAACCTCCAGGGACGGCTGCATTGGTCTCCAGGCGCTGGAAAGTGAATCAGAGTGAAGTGCTGATCCAAATGGAGCCAGTAAAGTAAATTACCGTCCAATAAGAGATGACTGGAACCAGAGGGGAGACTGTCTGTTATCTCATTAGGAAAATTAACCCTATATGCAATTGACTGAGAGTGTAAAATGATCCGACTTCAGACAGTTGTTCCTCCACAATGTGAAAGACACAATCGTGATCTATAGGTAGAAGGTATGTGGCATTTATCCCGTGACAACAAAGACAGGAAAGAAGATGGAAATCGATACTAAAGAGCCCAAAGCCATCCTCTGTTGTTCAGCGACCCCGTATCATTTTACCCTGAAGGCCCTTGCATTCACGGGCTTTACGGTTCCCTTAAAGCCCGCCAGAGCACAAGCTAAAGACACCACTTAATCTCAACATAATGGGCAGTTAGGAGCAGCTACATTTACTTTATGCACTTTCCCCAGACAGCAGCATTTGTCCACACAGGAATACAAACACTGGGAAATTGTGTGTTTTCCCCGCTCTTCCCTCTTGTCTCTACATGCCCGGTGGTTTCTGAGCCTCAGGTTTCACCTCACAGGTAAGGAATGATCTGTTTTCTGCACTCAGTTAAGTCCCTGATATGTTTGTGTGATGTTTTTGGACTGGGCGTACCCCCATCCAGGAGTATTTATCTTTTAAATGTGTGACAGTCACTTCACTTTGTCAACAGATAGTGCTGTGTATTGCCTCTCAGCGACGCGGTAATGGGTTAAACCGGTTGTAGGTCAACAATGTAATGTAATGTATTTCATTTTGTGCAATTTTATTCTTCTACTGTGTAGTTCGTGAAATTAGGTCCCTCCTGAAAAAAGGGAATCAATAGATAACTCAGCAGGGTGTTGCTGCCATTCTGTGGACATTATTGATTTTACATTTCTTTCATTCACACAGAAGGGCCTTAATATGCAGTGTTCAACATATATGATGAATGCACTCACGCCCTTTCACCAGGTTACACACTTCAGGCTAATGGAGATGCTTTTTAAAAGACACAGGAGCTACTATTTAACTTAAATATGTCATAAAGTTACTGTTTAAAATAAATCAGATCACATAATGATCATTTTACTTGGCATATAGGGTTAAGATGCTATAATAGATGATAGTTTTAACCTTAAAGGTCCCATGTCATGGCCATTTTTACTGATCATAATTCCATTGTTGAGGTATACTAAAATACATTTAGATTGTGCAATTTTCCAAACTCACATTGGTTTCTCATACAGCATCTCTGTATAGTATGTGTATTCACTCTCTGTCCTAAACGGCTTGTTGGAGCTCCTGCCCCACCCCCTCCCTGTGAGCCCATGGCGAGACAGCGAGACACAGCGAAACCCAGCCCGAAAGACACACACACCCGCAGCCTGGCTGGGAGTTTGTGTGTGTGCCCAGGCTGAGTTCCGCGGTGTGACTCTGCAGACCGTTTACATGCATAAAAACCTTCATAACACACAAGGGGACGGGTAATAACCGGAAAAGCATGACATGGGACCTTTAACATGAATACACCAAAAATAATAAAATGCAATTTCGGGTGATACAAGTGCCATAAGTGACATTTACTTAAATAAAAGTATCAATACAAACGGGTAAAAATACTGCATTGCATCAGCAAAGGTATCAGCAAATTATATTAAATATAAAATGATTGCTACCAAAGCGTATATGTGGAAGGAGTTGCTGTTTTTAACTACATTATATAGGGTAAATATACTGTTGATTCATTTAATGTGTAATATATGATCATTTGGTATTTGTAAAATCTTAATCTGCAATGTGATAGCTGTCAGAATAATGTTTGAGAGTAATAAGTATAAACTAGTTATGGTACTGCTTTTTTAAAGATCTAGGTATTTTATTGATATTACAGATACATTGCAAATAGAAGAGAAATAAAATATACTCATTATATAAAAGGCAAGGACATTCACTGACAACATGTTATCCATTTAGATTGAAAAGGAGTCTTTCAAATGGTGAGATAATATGATGTGGTGGTGCAGTGTCACACAGCAGCAGCAGACAGTATGGATCCTCCACTAACCCACTGACCTGCATTGCAGAGGCACATTTTTGCTACGTGATCTGTTTGTTAATAATGATGAAAACGGGTGAATTGGAGGCCATGCTGCCCCCTAGTGTTCACACACAGGAACTTCAATGAAGCCTATATGGTCAGTGTGCAAATAAAAAATAGTCTCTTCTGATATGAATTAAAGTCAGAATAATGTTCATCATTTCATTGTGTTATAATCATGATGGCTCTTTTAACCAAACTGTATTATTATACAATATTGTTATATTCTCTATTATCACTAATGAATACATGTAGGCAACTTTAGAAACTGCAGATCAGTAACTTCATCATATGATTTTAACATAAATTGTTTTGTAATCAAATTAGAGTATAAACAGGGCACACAGTGTCATAGAGTAGAAGAATACAATTGCACAAAATGAAATACATTACATGTCATTTGTTAGATTATTTTATCCAAAGCGACTTACATACATTCAGTACTGTGGACAATCCCCACAGGAGCAATTTGGGGTGAAGTGTCTTGCCCAGGGACTCAACGACATGTTGACTGCAGTGGGACTCGAACTTGCTATCCCCTGATTCGAAGTCCAGCACACTACAGTACCCACTGAGCCACAGCCTCCCTATACACAAGTATAGTACAAGTACCTTAAAGTAAACTAATCTGAATAGGCCAAATAACTACTAACTAAAGCTGTCAAATAAATGCAGTGGAGTACAAAGTACAATATTTGCCTCCGAAAAGTAGGAAGTAATATAACGATTTTATAAAAGGAAGTACCTCAAAGTTGTGCTATGTTTCAACCACTGATTTATACCATCAGAAAGGAGACATAAAACAGAGCTGATAAATGATTACATATTATGTTAATGTTCTTTATCTAGTCAGACATGTCTGGGTGGGTTTGAGTTTGGGGAATATTAAACAATGTAGTTATATCTTGGAAATAGCCTTTTGAACCTGGGGAGTGATTCCTGTCTGTGTTTATTTATTTTATTCACATGCAGAAACATATTGTTCTATAGTTTTAAGCCTTACTAATCATGGTTTAATATCATATGGGCTCGTTAATTATAGAGGCTGCCACTCCATTGCAAACAGCTGTTTCACTCAGTGTTTGTGGAGCCCATTGCAGACAAAAGCACATTTTGTTACAGTGAGTTAGCTGTTGAACAATTTGGATCTAAATGACTGAGTTTGCACAACAGAACCCACAACTGGACAGGTTCAATCCATTTAATTAAGTCTGTTAAACTTTACCTTTTATATCCCGGAGGCACTTTGGCCTTTCACGGCCAATTCAACATTATGCGTCGGACACAGGAAGTCGGACCAAGAAACCACTCTGATTGGCTGTTCAGCTAGCGAATGAGAAGCGAAACGGAAGTGAGGGACGTAAACAAACTATTTAAGAAGGCACACACACAGACGGCTATTCATTTTCATCTCATCGGTTTATTTGTCATCATGGCGATCTGGAATGAAGGAAACGAAGAACTGCTCATCACCTTGATCGAGGAGAGGCCAGCTCTGTACGACATTACAGAGACAAATTACTCGAACCGAGTAGTGAAAACCGGACTCTGGCGAGAGATTGAATCTCAACTTGGTTTCTCAGGTAAGATTCTCCTTTTTCATCAATTGAGCTCTTTAGCAGAAACTGTTGGTTTTGTATTGTTTGCCAGCGTACGTGAAATGTAATTTGTTATTTCAACCTTGTGTTTTGTTGTTATCTTGTTGCTAGCTGTTGCTACTTGTTTGGCACTGCATATAGATATGATTTGGACATGCTAACTAGCCACAATGCTTACATCGTTTATTTGTGTGCTTCAGAGAAAGCGCTGAGGAAGAAGTGGGATTCTCTACGAACCGAGTACAGACAGCTGCGGATCATGACCAGGCTGCAGTTTTTAGAGCCCTACACAAAAAGGAAGGAGAGTACTTCGAACCTCACCATCACGGTAACTATTTTATTTGTTGAGTACAAATAAGTGTTTCTTGCTTCTTTCATTTACAAAAACATTATTTGCATTCATTTGGTGGTTACAGTGGTAAATATAACAATAACAGAATAATATATATATTATTGTATTATAATTATTGATGTGATCATCACCTTAATGTTGCAGCTAATTTAAATTACATTGTATACTGCTGGGTAGCTTATGAAATTCACCATGGGATCAATAACACTTTTATCTTAACCTATAAATAATACATGATAAAATATGTCTTGATTATATTTTGTAGTGTTCTGAATCTTCTAGAAGTACGTTTTAGCATCTGAATAGAGCCATCACAATGTGCCTCTCACACTTGACCACACCCCGAACTAATGGCACACACATTTCAGGGTATTGTTTTGTTATGAATGCTTAGTAAACAGTTTTAAGAAGCCATGGTATTAAATCCAACTAACTGTGAATTTATTTAAAAAAATGTAAGGAACGTCTGGTGGCTGCAGAATCACCCCCCGGTGGCACCAGCAGTGACACCAGCAGTGAAACCTCGACCAGCACCACTGAGGAGTCCTTCCACTCTGATGCTGAGCCGACACCGCTCAGAAAGAGGCCATGCACACTCAGTACTCGAAGGCCTCCGGCAAAGCGCAGGATGATGCAGGAGGAGTCCGTCGTTGAGGCGTCAAAAACATTGCTGGAGAGGATAACAAAAACTCTGGCACAGTTGGCCCCGAGTGGACCTGATGACATACTCGCGGCCCATGCCAAAGTGTTTGAGCACAGACTGCGGCTGTTGCCACCTCATCAGATTAGACCCTTCCTGATTTGCGTGGAAAATTGCTTCTTCGAGCACTTAGAGAAAAATCAAACCTAGTCATTTCACTTGTCTCTAGACAGTTGTCTTCACATGTGACTCGTTTTTTAAAAGTTCACTCATTTTTAAAGATGTGGCTAATTCTTTTTACAGACAGTTGTGGCAATAACATTTTTTTTTGTTGTATTGCATAGTATTTTTATTGTATTGTATTTTTGTTAATTGTTTACTTTTTGTATTGTTTATTTTGATAATAAACCACTTTTTACCGATACTGCAAAATGCAAAACTTTATTTCGTACCTTCATACTACAGCCATTACATAACACAACATAGAATGATTTATTTCTGCTTCAGAGAGCTGAAGTGGAGGAGCTGATTTAAATTACATTATACACTGCTGGGTAGCTTAGGAAATTCACCATGGGATCAATAACATTTTATCTTAACCTATAATAATACATGATAAAATATGTCTTGATTATATTTTGTAGTGTTCTGAATCTTCAAAGTTAAGTGAAGTTATCAAATAAATGTAGCGCAGTATAAAGTACACTGAATGGGAGTGGAGCAGTAGTATAAAATTGCAGGATTAGTCTCAAGTACTTCAACATTGTCCTTAAGTACAGTGTCTAAGTACATGACATACTGTCTACCGCTGTTCTTTGTTCAAGATTGAAATGTAAATGTGCAAGATGGTTTTCTGCCCCTCTATTCACATGTAGCCTTTCAGACGTGATGGTTTCTTCATCATCGAACTGTTGTGGAGCAGAAGTATAAAGTTGCAGGATTAGTCTCAAGTACTTCAACATTGTCCTTAAGTACAGTGTCTAAGTACATGACATACTGTCTACCGCTGTTCTTTGTTCAAGATTGAAATGTAAATGTGCAAGATGGTTTTCTGCCCCTCTATTCACATGTAGCCTTTCAGACGTGATGGTTTCTTCATCATCGAACTGTTGTGGAGCAGAAGTATAAAGTTGCAGGATTAGTCTCAAGTACTTTAACATTGTCCTTAAGTACAGTGTCTAAGTACATGAGATACTGTCTACCGCTGTTCATTTACCTATTGTGAGGTCATCGTCAAACTAGTCACAATGCATTTATTCTGCTTGTCAATTTCAAAATAAAAGTCGTATAAAACTAGTTTCACTCCTGCAAGCGATTTAATTGGATGGAATATTCTAGGACTAGTCGTATGACCATCAAGTAGCCTAAATAAATGCATCAACTAAAACATTGATTTAAAGGTGGGGTAGGTAATTTTGGAGAAGTGCGCTAGAATTTGAAAATACACAGCCGGAAGAAATCTGCTACTTCCTTACAGAGCCCCTCCTCCAACACACACGAACGCGCACATGACCAATGAGGGCACGAGATAAGTTTGTGCACAGATGGAAGGCTGACAGGCAGGTAGGCCATCCAGTTATTTTAGCCGGGCCGGCTAAAATGATTGGTCGTGCTTTTTACAGTACTACGGCTTCCACAGATGACATTTTTTTATGGATTTTTTTTGTCAAAGCACTTAAGATATTCATTGCTATCGGGATGTTAAGAGCATTCCATGGAATATAACAAAAAGTGTATCTCGAGCCGGTTTCTCAAACCTACCTACCCCACCTTTAAGGTCTACTTATTAACTTTTCTGGATCTTCCAACATATCTGACATTTGTCAACTGAGCCATCTCCAAGACAACTGGGCCATCCATTGGAGAAGATTATGGGATGTAGTAGAAAGCACTGGAGACAGAAATTAGTAAGTGGACTTTGAGTTAAAAAGGAGCAAAAAATAGTACTATCATATCGAAACTATTAAGACTATTATAACAAATTGAAAATAAAGACATATTTACACAAGTAGGCTATTAATAGGCAAGATACTGAGAACATTAAATTAAAAATAGGACAAATATTCAGAATGGAGAGCTGTGCACATTTAAAAAGAGGTAGTGTGGAGCAGAGAGGCTAATATATTATCAATAACTTCAAAACGCTGTCACACCAAAGCTCTTAAAGTGGATGAAAACATTGAACAGTAATCATAAACAATGTGCAGGGTTAACATATATATTTTTTCTTTTTATTTCGAATTTAACCGATAAGGACCCACCAGGTGTCACATGAACTTTAAATGTTCTGGAAAGTTCCTTATACAGCTTTAGCCTTTATTTTATCTCATGAAGTCTCAGTGACACACCCTGAACAGTCTGGTGGGTCATGGGCCAGGTCATGTGACTTTGTGTTCCCATAACAACATGTCCAAGATCTCCATGTGCCAGGCTAACACATGTGACATAACAAGCTACATTTCAAAAGCTTTTTGTTGTTGTTGCTAAAGGTCAAATTCAAGCCATTTAAGAATGAAAATGCTTACATAACATGTCCTTTATTACATTTAACCTGTTGTGGAAACATTTATTGATCAAATTGATATGAAACAAATGAGATAAATATCGCTGTGACACTGGTGTCATATCGGGACTTTAACCCTAAACTTTCACAGTAAACCCGGAGTGACATATATGCACAATTAGAAATATGATTATAATCTGCTCCGTTAATTTAGCTGATTAAATTATATTTAGTTAATATATTCTTTATTCTTCAATTCAAAGAATGTTCAAACTAATTTAAACCAAAAAAATCATCCTCATTAATGAAGTTAGGCCTATATAAGAGTTATTTTACCATTAAAGCCCAATGTGACATATGTCACTATAGGGGGGGGGGGGGTTACTTGTCAGAAATGTGTTCTAGGTGGTCTATTTAGTCTAAATGATGTTCCCCTTCATTTCCCCAAAAGTAGACAATGGAAAAAGAGAAATCCCCAACGAGGCGTTCTGGGGCAGCATAGACAGGTATTTTCTGTGTTAGAGTTTTACTCACTACAGGGTGTACTTTGAGGGTTTGTGACTCTGCAGACCGTTTACATGCATAAAAAGCTACATAACACACAAGGGGACGGGTAATAACCGGAAAAGCATGACATGGGACCTTTAACATGAATACACCAACAATAATAAAATGCAATTTAAGTGACATTTGATAAAAGTATCAACACAAACGGGTAAAAATACTGCATTGCATCAGCAAAGGTATCAGCAAATTATATTAAATATAAAATGATTGCTACCAAAGCGTGTGGAAGGAGTTGCTGTTTTTAACTACATTATATAGGGTAAATATACTGTTGATTCATTTAATGTGTAATATATGATCATTTGGTATTTGTAAAATCTTAATCTGCAATGTGATAGCTGTCAGAATAATGTTTGAGAGTAATAAGTATACACTAGTTATGGTACTGCTTTTTTAAAGATCTAGGTATTTTATTGATATTACAGATACATTGCAAATAGAAGAGAAATAAAATATACTCATTATATAAAAGGCAAGGACATTCACTGACAACATGTTATCCATTTAGATTGAAAAGGAGTCTTTCAAATGGTGAGATATTATGATGTGTGTGGTGGTGCAGTGTCACACAGCGGGGGGTTACGTATTGTAACCCTAGTTATATAAACACAGGCGGAGCCCTCTACTGGACTCTATGGGTACTACTCTATCATGCTGTGCGTGCTTTCACCTACTGAATTTACGTAAACGTAGCCGGCCAATCGGGGCGAGCCTACCTGAATGTGCGCGCAGGCCCACAGTATATAAGGCGGCTACAGCCGCCGCCCCACTATCCTATACACTCTTCAGCGAGCGGACTAGGAAAGACAGGGCCTCCAGGTAGAGGGCTCCGCCTGTGTTTATATAACTAGGGTTACAATACGTAACCCCCCGTTATATCTCTCACAGGCTCCGCCCTCTACTGGACTCTATGGGTACAGTGGGCGGAGCCCCGATGTATAAACGCCCTGTCGTCCAACAACATCGACCCACCACACCGTCCCTGACCGGCTTTTGGCTAATATCCACTGCATCCCCACTTCCTCCCATCCGGTTGTAACCGTGGAGAAGTCGGGGCCGCAACTTGGATAAGGCACACTCACACACGCTTACCTCGTGTAGAGTGTGCATGGAAAAAAATTGTGCGGAGACTCCGTCTGGAGCCTACCGCGCACCATGTTCCCCAGGTCCCTCAGGAGCATGGGAAAACATAAGTGCACCACATCCCCCACACTCACACACGCTCCGTGTAGAGTGGGCATGGACAATAGTGAGGAAGGCTCTGCCCATGGCAGGCGGGGAGAGTCACAGCCCGTGTAGAATGTGCACGGACCCCAGTGGGGAGGGCTCTCCCCGCCCGTCCATAGGCATGTGTAATGCACCTGCATAGCCATCCTGTTAGGCGCTTCTTTGAGAGGGCTTTTCCAGCCACACCATCCCCAAAGCACACAAACAGTTGTTCAGTGCGCCTAATGGCAGCCGTGTGCTCTACATAGCATGCTAGCGCACGCCCTGGGCAGAGGAGGTGCAATTTAGCCTCCCTGGCCCCAATATGGGGTGGAAGATTAAAGCCACCTAACTGAATAGCCCTTGATCCGAATGAACTTCTGATACTCTTAGGAGTAAAGGAGTGGTTCGGCCTGAGTGTCGCCCCACTACGGTCACCCCGGATCAAAAGACAACTTGGGTGTACCGACAGAGCGGTCAGCTCGGATACTCTTTTAGCCGAAGTCAAGGCAAGTAGCAATGCTGTCTTCCATGACAGTGCTTTCAGGGAGGAGAGCTCCAGAGGCTCAAATGGTTCTGTGACCAGAACCTCGAGCACCAACGGCAGGTCCCACTGCGGGGCTGAGGCGTGCACTACTGGGCGCTGCCTCCTGACCCCCTGCAAAAACCGCGTCATAAGCGGCTGACTGAAGGCTGACCTGCCTCCAAATCCCTCATGGCAGGACGAAATGGCTGCTGCATACACCTTAATTGTGGAATGAGCCAGCCCCCTGTCCACCAGTATCTGTAAGTGGGTAAGAATAGAGCCCAGCGTGCACGACAGAGGCTCTAGACTCCTTCCTTCACACCATCTCCGGAATCCTGCCCACTTTGGCCTGTAACAAGCTGTGGTGGATTCTGCTCTTGCTGCTTGGATAGTCTGAATAACGTTATCAGACAGCCCCACCTGTCTCAGCCTGTCCCTCTCAGGAGCCAAGCCTGGAGAGGTTGGCCCAGAGTGGGTAACGCCCCTATTGCACCTGCTTCCTGAGACAGCGCTCCCCAGACCTGAGGAATCGCCCAGGGCTGGCCCACCATCATCTGTGTTACCCCCGCATTACCACGGCGCC